CTTCAGTAATAGAGGGGGCTAGTAATAAAAAAATAGAATACCAGCAATTTTGGCATATCGAGTTTTGTATATTGTTAAAAAGACCACAAAATGAATATTTCTCTATTAGAATTATTTTTGTAATATTAGCTATATTTCAAGCTGTTTAGTTCATATTTCATCCATATTCAATTGTTGTATTTTAAGAAATATTAACTTTTGCCTGATAGCTGAGCATTTCAAGAAATAAGTTTGTTATTATCTTTAGGAAGATAATTTGAGTTTCTTTCGTAATGCCTTCTCCTTCTTTTGTCATCCAGTTGCACATTAATGTGTCTCTATCACATGTCTAGCATGAGCACAAGCTCTAATTTTAATGTAGATCCGAATGGCATCTTTAAAAACTGTGTCTTTCAAATCAGTAGCTGCATCAACAAAATCAATCAAACACTTTGAGGTAGCTAGCAATGTGGATAACTCCTTGAAAATGGTGACAGCAAGAGAGGCAACATTAATAGTTTTTGGATTTGAAGATATAGCTTTCCTTAAATTTCTTCAGCTTTATAAAAGATTTCGACAAATTGTGCTTTTGGGTATGTTAGACAACCAGGGTCGATTTATCAATCAATTTCTTATCCCTCACCTCACCCACTCTTCTTCATTACTCTTGCAACAGTTAAGTAATTCTATTTTCTGCCTCAAAATATTTTCAGCTTCTTTTGCTGCATGTTTCTTTTTTACTTTATCATAGGTCTTTTTTAGCTTTGTTCAGGTTCTTCTATTCCTTCTTTCTGCTTGGCAATTTTTTCTCAGCAGCGCAACATAAGCCATGAACTGAACTCCTTCGGAGACACCTAAGTGGGCTTGCACATTTGTTCTAACATTTTCATCCCCCATACTTTCTGGAAATTTGTCCACATGGAATCCAAATAATTGGTTTTGCTTTCCAATTTGTTCTTAAAAAGACCACTTGGGAAGTCTATTGTATCAGCAGGTCCTGTAAGTTCCAGTAGCCTTTGAAGAACTTTTCCATACATTTCCATCAAAACCGTCTTGTTGGCCATTGATTCTAAAGCACCCTTAATGATTGAATTCATACAAATCTGAGGGGTATCATGTTCTTTCTCCTTTGAAGTCACCCCCTTTTTCTTACGATTTGGCTCTTTAACTTTCCTTTTCTTTGCATTGCTCCTCGTTTGTTGGTGAATAACAAAATTTTACTGTCATCACAAAATGGAAAACATCAATAATAATTTCCTAAAAGTTTCCTAAAAGTTTCGCGGTTTCCTAAAAGGAAAACATCAATAATAATTTAACCAGACGTAAACACCTGCTACAGGGCTGCACAGCTCTGAACCCTCAAAAGTATAACAAAAACGGGAAACATGAGAAACTTTCACTTTTATTGTTTTGTGATTTGTTATGTTGACTGGTGCTGCTGCCGTGTCGATGAAAAATCAAGCCAAAGCCAACATCATTAATTTAAAACAAGTAGTTTCCTAGGCCTAATTATAATGTAAATCAACATTTTCACTAGCATTATCCCTGGTTCATCAAACATACATTATGTTTAATCGGCATTCTTGCAATTACTCGTTAGAAAATGAAATATTGAAGTTTAATAGAAGGGCCTACATCGCCGTGACTTAAATTCTTATTCGCAGAGACAGAGATAATGGCTGCAGGGCCTTTAAAGTACACAAAGAAACGGACTACATTACCTTGACACAACAAGTTCAAGTAATTCTTCGTCGATTTGGCCATGAAAATAGGTGAAATCCATTCTTTGATGTTGCTTTTTTGGTGAATGTCCTGGTCGTGAGACTAAAACCGGAAATGACTATACCCTACAACTTTTCCAAAACACGCGATTGGAAGATAAATGTAATCACCTATTGTTGTCTGCGCAGTTTCCTATCCAGTCACTATTCCAGTATCTTTGCTTACAGTAACAGAAAAGAACTGAGAGTACCATCACTTGCAGTGTTCAATTTGTGAATCAACGTCCTTCCATTCAGTTTGAATTAAAACTATGCGAAATACACTGTGAGGTCAAATTTACTTCACAGTGTCACCAAACCAGCTGGAGAGGCTCTTTAATGAAATACAATTTACAGACAACAGCCAATCTATAAAACTTTAGTCCTTTTCTCCACAGTGAAGTCTTTTTTGTTGTACCAAGACATCAGCGTATTCCATCGTTCATCTACAAAAAAAGGCGGTGAGAGAAAATGGCAATAGAACCAATACTGTTTGCTTTTAGCACAAAACATCGCAAGAGGTAAAAATTTCACAGAAACACATTCACGGCTTCATGGTTTCATTTTGACAAAGAGCATGGAGAGCACAAATGATTGAGATGATTTTCGTACGAACCTTGGAGATATAAAAAAGGGAAGCAAAAACGAGTAAAGGAACCCCATCAACACAAGTTTGAGTATCCAGGACGAAATGGAAAAAGAATTTTGAAAATTGATCGAGTGGTTTTGGCTGGTAAATGTCTTCACCGCCGGGCAGTGGGGACCCTTTGTCTTGGGCTCATTTGCATAACAGGAAGATTAGTATTTACACAAATTTATGATCTCAATTTACTAGTACCAACTTCCATTACATATACTATAGAATTGGCACACAAAGAAAGACAAGATCCCTAACAAAGTTTCAAAAGCAATCCACTACCCTTTTTATCCCCTTTTTAATTTTTGCCCCCTTTCCCTCAAACAATAGATAAAACTTACGTGTAAACTATCATATTCCAAACAAACTTCTTCTATTATTCAAAATTTTTATTCCTAGTTTAAATAAGCTATTGTTGTTTATTAATTTTGTGTATTTATTTATTATCACTTCACACAAAATTCTCAACAGGTGGCACATGACCCGAAAGCCCCTATGGGTTTCTTCCATGTGTCATTCATCTATATCTTTATTTATACTAATAATTGTTTTAAATATCTGAACCTTGTATGCCTTGAAGTATAACTAAAATTGATCTTAATTAATTATTTTATTAGATTAGTACATTGTAATTGAGCTGAGAATACACATGAAGGAATTAAATTTGTATGCTCAATTTGAAGTGCTCAACAAAAGGACATACCATTTCATCTGCTCTTTATGTGGATGTCATCCATCTTTACTGATAGCTGATTTGAACCGTAAAATTGTTTTCAGGTTGTTGTAAACTTCCATTTTTTTAGAATTTCACGATAAAGAGGGCAAGAATTGAATTTTGACCATTTTAATAACACAACAAACAACTTCTTATATATAATACTTAGAATACGATTACACAGCTCAATGGCTAATTCCAATTTTTTCCTTCAACTTTTCCTCAATTATGATTTTCTCGTCTACCCTCGTGAAATGACGAGTCCTAAGTACAATGCTCACTGTGCTAAGTTTTTTACCTGTGGTTACGCACAAATCTAATTTAAGCAATGATATAATTACAGCGCACAGGGGGTAAGCTTCATAATTCTAATACACTTCCCCGGCTCAATTACAAGTATTCAAGAAGATATACTAAATTTCAACAAAACAGAACGATAGCATAATAATAAATGTCCAATAATTAGTAACAATTGTATCTTCTTCTTATTTCTCTGATAATGCCAGCCTTTCTTCTTGCGTTTCTACTAGATACACTAATATCTGTGTTGTCTGGGTCTACAGTTTCATCTACTATCAGTTTCATCTACTATCAGTTTCATCTACAGTACTATCAGTTTCATCTACTGAACTACATTCACTAAACTGAACTTCTAGAGGAATTAGATGTTTTAACAACCTGGTTAAAATGGATGTACATTTCCTATTTGGGACCTTAACTTTGGCTGAACGAACACTTCCATCATTAGTGATTATGAGTTCTTCTACTTTACAGATTTTCAAAAAATTACGTTTCGACTGTTCCTCATTCAAGACAACAAGACAACTTTTTAGAACTAACGATTTCATGCAAACTTGACAGATATTCTTCCTCCCAACGCCTTGAAAAATCATGAAGTATTTTTCAGTGATATTTCGCTCTCTGAGTTAAGGATTTTTGTGTACTGACAATTTCGAACAACCTGTCATTAGGATCATGTAAAATACGTAGACGCATATTTATATAAGGTGTGACAGAGTTATATACCAACAGTATCATCATACAAATATGTGATAGGACTCAAGTTAATTACCGATTCATCCTCTACCAAAATAGTATTAATATCATCGAATGTAAGAGAAGCTCTGCCTATTATCTTCCTAAGACAAGGCTTGACCGACCTCACCATCCTTTCCCATACAGCTCCCCAGAACGTGGCTGTTTGGGCAATAAACCGCAAAATAACGCCCTTTCCTGCAAGCTGAGCTCCGACAACCTTAACAAGAAGAATTTTCTAAACTTCCTTCGAGACTGTATAAAATGTCTTAGCATTATCAGATAGGATCCTTCTAGGCAATCCTCTAAAGCGTCTGAATGCTTTGAAAAACATATCAACATCTAGGCTCGCAACTAATTCAAGATGTACTGCTCTGGTGGACAAGCAAATGTACATTTTGGTTAGACTTGTTTTGCGACACATATAATGGCCCCGCAAAATCTAAGGCTATGATTGAGAACGCTGGACCATCATCCACTCTATACACTGATCTAAAAAAAGACTGGATCGAGCTTCTATACTCCTTCTATGAAGCATTCTAAAAATTGCGGCAGCCATATTGGTCCTACCCAAGACGAGAAAGTAGGTTATGAACCTTGTATGAGAAGTTGCACCAGAAGCCTTGACATTTTGAATCTGTTGAGTACTATAGAACCTTGGGAGGTTTGTATTTGATATTTTCGTATTTTTTATGTATACTTTAGCAGTTATTGCTAATAATTCCGTACCTGTGTTTGTAAAGTTTTACATTTTCTCAGTCTAGGTCTGTTTCAATTTGGAAATGGTAAGGAGAGAAGGAACAGCACAATAGACGAATGACAATCTAGTAGCGCGTGAAATGATCCTGAAAAAGAATAATATAAAAAACTGAAATCTTTAAATGACTTATGTTTCACTCCGGCCTAAACAGGCTTTGGTAATGGTATTTGCCTTGGAAATCTGCCCAAAGCTAACAATTAACTAGCTTCACATTTATACTGGTTTGATAAACTTGCACAGTAAGGGTTTTATAACACTTAGATTATAGCAGGCATTCTAACCACCACGCACCTGACATGATCCAGTGTGGTTGTGTGTGGTTACGTGTGACACTAATTCTTTGGAAAAATCTAGGTATTTATGGTAGGTCTATGCAGGAGTTGCAAAAAGGACAATGATTCCAGCAATATCATTGATAACTGCTCAGCTTTTCAGAGAATTAAGAACCGAACTTAATCAATATATCAAGAAAAGACAATCAATATCAGCGAAAGTTTTATAACATTTTAAATTATGCTGTCGTAGCTATCACTTGAGTCCTCGGGTGAAGAAGTTTGCATATAGAGAGTGTCAACGTTTTGGTTACTACTTTGCCAATCTGTCTCTTTCTCTGTATTGATTTTTTGGAAATACTGGGATTCTTCTTTTTCCCATGCAGATTTCTACTGCTTTACTTAAGATCTTTTCACAGTCAGATTTGTCCCAATTCGTGTTGTTCCCTGCAATAATGATGCACTACTCCATTGTTTTGTGCGACATCCTCAGGCGCTTGTCAGATAATATAGTAGTTAGCATGCTAAATGCTCTTTCATCCGAAGAGTTTGAGCACAAAACACAAAAGCACAAGTTGAAAAGTAAGCACAAATCTGGAAACTCTGCATGTCTGAAATCTAGAATTTTCTCCCAAAATTGGCCAGCCTCCATTGTTGGGTAAAAAACCTCTGCAAGTACTTCAGGGATTTCCACTCTTTGATGACATTTTCACAACCAAATGAGGCTTCTTGTAGTGAAACTGTGATTAAATCAGCAAAAAATTTTATCTGTTCCATCCCATACTCCTTGCTTGCATTGTCCCAATACTTCGGATCAAGCCAGATCATGCTTCCAAACAGGTCTTGATCAACTGAATTAAAGCGCTCTTCAATCACTGGAATCAGTAGTCTTCCAGCTTCCTTTAACATCTGTAGAGTTGCTTGAATAGTCTCAGACTGAGCATTCGCTAGACCTTCAATTTCAAAATCTGCATGGTCACGATTATCCGGTTTCTGTCTCTCGTGACCAGGCTAACTTCGACAGTCACTTTATCTCCATTTCTTTCCAAGCTTCATTTTCTCAAATAGCTGGCTACCAAACTAACCTCTTCAGCAATTTCTTTTAAAGAATCCTTGATCCTTTCTACGGCTGGTGGGATTTCAAATGCCAGTAAGTTTTGCTTTTTGAAAACAAGAGATAAGGCTCCCAAAGAATATGGAACTCATAAAATGTGATATCTAGTGCAGCAGCTGCCTCCATAATTTCGGCCTTCAGCTTTCCTAAGTTTCTTAAAAGATACCACAAATCTTTATAAAGGCTGTCCAATCATTGAAAAGGAACAAAGCTTTTGATTACATCCTTTAATGCCAACTTCAAGTGTATGTTGACTAACACAATGTATGTTGACTAACCACTCTCTTTCGTGCTTCATCTGTGTCAAAACACCAGAATAAACCCCCAGATTAACATTGGCACTATCTGCTGTTGCACTCACCATTGTAATCGGTAATACAAATTTGAAGTGTTTTACCATCTTCACTTGAAAAAATGCTTTCGACTGCAGTTTTGATTGACATAGCATCAACTCCACCAAATCTTTTTATATCAAGCAATGCCACCACTACAGGTTTGCCATTTCGCACTGTTCAAACTATTTCATGTTCTTTTTCGTCGTTTGTTTTACGGGCTTGTGATCCGTCAGACAGTATAGAAACAAAAGAAGACTTGGAAATGATGGAGGCACAAGTTTCTACCACATCCTCTGCAATACAATGCATGAATTCTCTGGTTGCAACACTTGTGTCCTTACCCTCAACAAGTCTTACACCGTTATCTCTTTGGCACTTCACAAGAACAGAAAAATGTTTATGAGGCATAGATGGGACAACCGCCATGGCATAACCAGTTTTCATCAGTTTCTTGAATGAATCTTTAGAAGAGTCATTGAGCGCTTGACGTACATCTGGCTGTAATGGCTGTATTTTAGGGTTCCGTTCCTGCACTGGTTGTCTGTTGTCAAGCATGACAGCTATCTCATGAGCTTCACTTGTTAAATGTCGATCAACCATAAAAATATACACAAACCAATTAATACGAGTCGAAAATGTAAAATACGTGAACAAATATTGAAAGATCATTTTCATGAAACTAATTGTTGCCAAAAATCTAAATTTAAAAGTCTAGAATCATTAGGTTAGTACCCAGGCTACTAACTTTGACCACGAAGCCACGCTTCTATAAGTCTTTGCATGTGATTGTGATTCTTTGAAAAAATGACATTGAATTATGTCAAAATAAGTCAAGGATTTACATACCTGGAACTTGGTAACACTTTTAGTGCCATCGGCAAATGCACTACCTGCAACTGCAGCTGCTCCATTGAAAAATGGGTGTTTGATAATTTTTATCCGATATTTTGTACAAAGCTTGCACCAAATTTTTGTTACATAATTTTTTCCGTCTAACTCTTCAACATGATGTCCAATAACATCGCTTTTCCCCCATTGTATAAAGGTTAACAGCTCTTTTGATATGCCTTTTTTCTTTTTGGGGGCGGTTGCAAAACACAAACTTTTAATAGGTCTTATCGTGGCTGGACATGAAAACAACTTGCTTGTATTTTGTGCGTTTTTTCTCCAGCGAATATGAAAACAAACTAACTAGAAATCTATTGGTAAAGTCTGATATATACACATGTGGTTTCACAACGGATGGCTAATTATGTAAAAGAAATATAACGTGGTGTGGGAAAGGAAGGGCTACTCCGAGTGTAAATAGTTTTCTAATAGACATGCCTGTAGGTTAAAATAGGCCCAAACAAAAGACAGAAAATTTTGACATTGGAATGTACACCTAGAGTGTTAAGGTTAAAAAAATAACAAGTTGAATAATGAATGCTGATAATGAGGAAGAAAGGAAGGTCGCTACAAAATGATAATTTTTCAAACTAAAGGTCCATTCACACTTGTCGCATTTTTCATGCCGCGGACCATAAAAGGTGTGCGTTTTTTGACGCACAGCTTGATGCCAATGCATTTTTTTCAAAGCGGCAAAGTTGAAAAAATAAAACAAAAACGCTTCTTGACGCTCAGATCGCTAGTTTAAAATGGCTACTAAACACGTATGAACAGCTTGGCGTGTCCGGCTAACCATGTCAGTCTGAAATTATTTCAATAAAAGCCATCGTTGTATTTTAAACTTGCTTTTAGGCTTTTGAAGGTGTCAACATAACTCTCTAAAACTCTATAATTTTATTCGTTTTAACAAAATTTTACTGTTAGTTGAGCTTAGAATTTTTTTATTTGCCATACAGATATTGCAATGCTGAAAAGAGTTTTCAAAAACTTGAGAGACCGGTACATGAAAATGAAGAAAGAGTACAAGCCGTCAGGGAGTGCAGGAGGGGTTCCTTTGGAGCCTTCGTGGCCATTCTCTGCCCAGTTGCAATTTCTAGATCCATTTCTAAAACATAGGCCCACTACCAGCAATTTGCAAGTGACATCCTATGGTTTCAAACGTTTCTCTACTACGCTGCAAACCACTAATGAGGATTCATTCGTCAATCTGCCTCATGACGAAATTGAGACCCTGTCATCCGGTTTAAGGCAAACCTCTTCCCCAGACAGACACCCAATCTTTTCCCCAATTCTTTCACCAACCGTCTCTATTGATGCGTCAATTGCTGCCCCCTCACCTTCTTCGTCGATACCTGCCAATACTGTGCAAACAGGTAAATCTAAAAAGCGCAGAATGGGTCAAGAAGACACAAGTAACGAGCTGCCGTTACAAGCTTTGAAGGAATCCAATGACTTCATTGCAGCAGCATGCAATCGCCAGGAGCCTGATGAAGATGATTTGTTTGGGCAAAGTGTCGGGAAACAGTTAAAGAAACTAAGTGAATACCAAAAAAGCCTTGCTAAAATAAAAATCCAACAAGTTATCATGAAGTTAAGTGGCTGAGTGAGAGCCAGTTGAAAAACGTAAATTTGGTAGCATTAAGAACCTTTTTGAGTTTGAATAACATTATTAGATTAGATAGCGTCTTTTTAAAATGGGGTGCCGTTTGAGAGAGGGGAGATACTATTGACCACTGTCGTATTATTTTATTGCCTCTACCGCTCTTGCATAAGCAATCTCCTCAAATAGGCCCCTAATCTGGAACTGAAAATTCTAAATAACCCCCATCCCTTTGAATAGAACCCCTTCTCAACATTTTGAATAGGACGCCAATTTTTACAGTACATGATTTAAGTTTTTTGATAGAAATGACATTCGTCATAAAGTTAAACTAATAAAAACGAAACATTTTTAATTTTATTTCAAAATTTACTTTCAAAATATTTGTTCTCTTCGAATAGACTTGAATAAAGAACAATTGCTTCAAAGAGCTGTTTTCATGGCGACTTAAAGAAATTTTTTATTATTATGAGTTTTCTCTCATGTTGCCCTCGTTTTGCACTATGAAAAGCAGATATTTCTATTCATGAAAGCAGATATTACTTTTCATGTGTGATGTGCTTTTCCCATTTAGATTCTTGTCCCATTTTTTCCATTTTTCAATGAAAGACGCCTTTTCCTGTTAAGGTTACGGTAAACGTTTTGAACACGAAAATTGGTTTTTCCTTCCTAAAGGCCAAACGGCTCAAGAAATCTGGATAAACTATATATCATTCGATGCACAAGATTATGGCGTATCTAGCCAGATAACAATTATTGGCAAATAATGTTAAATGTTATTTTCCATGCGAATTTACTTGTCAAAAAGTGTACCACCTTCAAAAGCTATTATGTACCCTTGCGTTTGAGGTAACAAAATCTGACTTAGACCAGCAGGAAGTGCAGGTCCTAAGCTACCAAAGTGTGTCTCAGATTTTTTAAATTCCTCCTCTTTATGAAACTATACCCTGTCAAAAATTGGCAAATAATTTTTCCACCCTCCCGCAGCTGTATTTGGGTATAAAAGACGGACCAGAGAAAATAAAAAAATTTTGAGACACACTTTGTTTGCCCAACGTCTGCCCTGGCTGTGTGCAAATTTTCGAGCCATTCGATTGGTTCCTTGGGTACATAATAGCTTTTTCATACCTGCATGTAGAGGAATTTCGAGTCCGGAGAAAACGGGATTTTACTGATCGCACTTGCAAGATACACTCGTAAACCACAGTGTAATCCGGGTCAAGTCACTTGAAGATTTAAGATCAATAAGCCTGTTTAAATAAACACGGCCGTACATTGGATATATGGATGTGCCATGCGATATTGTAAATGAGACATGCGACCACAACCGCAAAGCAACGATAATCGGCTTAACAGGTCAAGAGATTTTCAGGCCTCAACTAAAAGTTTTGATAAAGAAATTATGGAAACCTTCGGTTACATGGGATTTTTTCCACTTTCAAAATTTCTGTTTGTTTCAAATTTGGTATCATTGTGTGCCTTGAAAGTTCGGCTACTTGAATGTGAAAAAATCGAAAAAATGATGTTTTCATCAAGAAAACGTTTACCGTAACCTTAATTCTGAGCCCCTCCTGTCTTTTCAGCACCCCAGTGTCAACGAGAAATAACTTTGTTTGTTTTTCAATTTAAGTTTAGTGGTAAAAAATATTATAAATGTATAGCAACGGAAATAGCAAAGTTAACTAACGATTTTATTTGATTGGCTCATAAGATGTTCTTTTTACGTAATCATACTGCCAAGGCAATTCTTCTTGTGCAGACTGAAAGTAGCCTGCGACTTTCTCTTAAAAAGCTTGGGCGGATCTACTATGAATATTAGAACCAAGTTGCTTTATCTCTGAAAGAGAGCCAGACTCTGTTACTTCAGATCTCCATGTTCTGTGATGAAGAATACCATGGGCATCTTCATAAACATCCCAGAATTTGTAGAGGATGTCGGAGCAACATTCACTCTTGCTAGTGAAGCCAAAGAAATAAACTTTTTTGAGAAAATGTTCTCTGAAGAGATCTACTGCATTTTGGCAGAGCAAACAAATTTGTATGCCTTACAGGTGGAGCGACACAAGGTAGATCAGTGCTGGTCCCCAACAACACCTGATGAAATGCGCTGCTTTGTTGGCCTAAGAATTTTCATGTCATTGGTTGACCTGCCAGAAATCAAAATGTACTGGAGTCAGGACAAATTTTATGGTGATTTTGCCATTGCTGAGATCATGACGAGGGATAGATAAAAAAACTATCCTAGTTTATACACATACAAGATCGCACTGGCTATAATCGGCAAGATTGGAACAGAGACAAGCTCCACTTGATGAGGCCACTTTTGGAAGTTGTCAACAAACAGTGTTTGGGGAATTACAGTCCTAACAGAGAAAATGCTGTAGAAAAAGCGATGATAAAGTTTCGTGGCACATTGTCATTTAGGCAGTACATGCCAGCCAAGCCAACTAAATATGGTATCAGGGTTTGGGAGCGGGCAGACAGCAAGAATGGGTATGTTTGTGAGTTCAAAGTTTACGTTGGGAAGCCAGGAGGAAATCATGGCTGAGAGAAAGAACTCGGAAGAAAGGTTTTCAAACGTTTGACAACAAACATTCGTGGCAGAAACCACCATGTTTACCGATAACTATTTCAGTTGTGTCGCCTTTCATGAAAACCTCCTAAAAAATGGGATATATGGATGCGGCACTGTCAAAAGTAACGCCAAGTCAGTGCCGAACGAGATGTGTGTAACAAGAGGGAAGAAGTCGGGCCTAATGTTGCAACCAGGCGATTCGAAAACATGGCAAAAGAATGGCATAACTGCAACAGTATGGCAGGAAAAAAAGGGGAGAAAGCCTGTCAGGCTGCTTTCTTCTAACCATAATCCGAATTTTGCAGAAACATCCGTTAAAAGAAAGCAAAAGGATGGGAGTTACCAGGAAATCTCATGCCCACCACCTGTTCGGAGCTACAACAAAAACATGGCTGCAGTGGATAGAGCAGACCAAATGCGGACGGCTTATTGCTGTGCCAGAAAATCTCGGCGTTGGTGGACCTATATCCTTTGGTTTTTGGTGGACCTATCTATTTCCAATGCCTTCATATTGATGAAGGAGTCACCGAACAATAAGCGGTTTGCAAGGACACGAAAGAGAAGACCATGACACTCCTCGAATTCAGGAAAAGATTAGCCATGCAGCTCATTGGCAGCAACAGAAGTGGTCGAAAACGCGGTAGACAAGTCAATCCAGACTTGGGGGCTTAAAAGCATCTGCCTAAAAAGGTTGAAAAGCGAGGCAGATGCAAAAACTGCACAAAAAACAAGAAGGATGGGTACTCCCGCTTCGTATGCACAGGCTGCAGCAACATGGAGGCAGGGAAATACACGTTCCTTTGCATTATTAATGACTGCTTTCATGACTTTCATGTAGTTTAATGTGTGTGTAAGTTGTTTTTTATGTGCTCGTTATTTCTTATTAATCTGCTAATTATTAAAATATGCTTTTTCTTTATATCGTTCCATATCTTTATGTTAAGAAAACTGAGTTTGATTTTTTTTCTGCTCGACTTTCTTGGTCTGAGACTTTGACTGGAAATCGCAGCAAATTGTTAGGGCTTATGTTAATAAAAGCTGAATAACCTAAAAGAGCATCCTCTAACCTAAAACTTTTCTATAATTCTTTTTGTTGAATTTTGAGCAGAATCCGAACTATAAGTCGTTTTGAAACAACAGGTAAAATAGTTTGAGGCGGAAGCCATTTTCACCGGGATGCGAGACTGAATATTGAACAATAGACACTGGGAATCAAAGCGAAATATTTGGTAATGCTCGCGGAGCGTATGAGTTAAAAGAACCGAATTCTGCTTTAATTTTAAAAAAGGTACACAGGATTCACTTTACAAAAATTTGCCACTTTGTTCATACATGTGTTTACAGTGTTACTCTATTGCCAAGAGATTGATTTCTTTCTGTACCTTTACTGGTGTTTAAAGAGGAATCAGCTTTGTGAATTTCTTTCTGATGTTAGGGCCTGAAAGCTGGCTTTTTTTTCCTAGGTGGTACAACCTTACCTATCAGTAACACTTGGCCAAGGTCTTGATCAGATTGAAAACCTGATTTTCACCAAGTGCAGAGTCTAGAACATTCTCGTCAAGGTCCCTGAGCACAGTAGGCAAGTTAACAATTCCTAAAACAGCAGTTGCTATTGCATCAGGGATACCTGAAAAAACCAGAAAGGTCTCCAGTATTTGGAACCAAATATTTTCAAATTAGTAAAATTTGTGATAACATTATGGAAATTTGATGCCCATTCTTTTGACAACAAGTTTTTGAACTACTGTGAATGTCTTTTTTTCTCTTGATTAAACAAAGGATTTCATCTGCTTTTGGAATTTTTGATTTACATAGTTTTGCCAGTAAAATTTAATAATGTAATGAGCCACACTGTTGTAATATATAGATAAAGTATAGAGGGATTAAGTAATTATAGTATGTTATATAGCATGCCTGTATATTCAAAAGATGGTGGATATATAAAAGATTAAAATACAATATGTACATTGGCATGAAAAAGAGTTGAAAACTAGTTGTTTGGTGACATCCTCAATAACTCTTTGGGTTTGTAATCATTGTTTACATTTATTCATGTTTGTGGCTCAAGGGGACAAACCTGCACATTGTCGAAGATTTCCACCAGTGGATACCAGCATCCTGTTGAAGCACTTCTCTGTTTCTTTGCATATTGTTGTCACACTATGGGTGGGTTTAAAACGTCCTCCTCTGTCCTTGAGGAATCTTGAATTTGCTGTATTGTGCTTCAAGCCAAGTGCTGTGCAGCAATCCATATACAGAAGCCTTTTCTCTGCCATTCTTGCAACATAGCCAGCTATGTATGATACGGCAGCTTCTTTATAGTCAGAAAGAATTGCAAAATTGGGTGAATCATGATAGTCATGCTCAGATTGTATGGGTCTTCTTTCTTGTTACCATTGTAGGAATCATCAACAACGTGGAGAACTTCTGTTGCATCCTGCTTTATACAATTCCCTTGGCTGCTTTTAATACTGCTTACATGAATACGGAGATTCGCATGGAATTCTTCAGAAGGGCACTTGGTGAAATGAAGTGACAGAATCTGGAGCTCTACAGAATATTGGCAAAATGGGGACAAATAACTATACAAAAGCTGCAGAATATTATAGATCTTGCTTCCAGATTATTTTCTTTCTCATCAAGGTGAGCTCCCATGGCAAAATGATTATATTCGCAGAATGTCTTACGATCCATTTTCTTAACAGCATATTTTTACTAATGTTTAAAAATTTCTGATAACATGGTCAAGTTTCTGGAAATTAATCGATTTATCTGAAAGAAATTCTGCAACGTTTTATATTATGAGGGGCCTTCTTAATTTAAAATTCAACTTTCTTGGATGAACTTATATAGAGAGGGGTTGAGGGGTTTTTGGCATCTTTCAGATTAGGGACCCTTTTTCCAAAAAGCTATTTGTTAGATAGGACAATTGGCTAACCGTGATGGGCATCATTTTATTTTTTCTTTCACTTTAAAGGGGACTTACTTAGCATTAAACAGCATAGTATGTTCGGCATCATTTATTTGGTCATAAAGTGTGCGAACCAAAGTATGCTTCTTTAATCTTATTGGAAGGCACATTAACGCAACACTGTATTCAAAATAGATGTGAACAACGTGAAGTCATGAGTCAATATTTAATTATTTGTCAATAATGATTGATACAAAGGAAATCAGGATTATCAAATTGCTACACCAAGTAGCCAGATTACCATGAGTCAGGAGTCTATTCTTGAGTGCTCCACCATTATTCATATCGAACTTGTTGAATTTTCAATTTCGCCAAACTTTTTTGATAGGCAGACAATTTTTTAAGTTCTTTTCCTATACTTTGACCGTAAAGATCGTCTTCATGTGGCTCCTCTCTTTTGCTAGCCGATGAAATGAACTGATTGGTGTTTTCAATCACCTTCATCAAAAACTGGCTGTTGTCAGGGGTCTTTTCTTGTCTGGGGGGTTTCGGGTTTTTTGGTTCGGGTACATTCTCGTAGAGAGTCCAACTGAGCCACAGGAGATCCAGCTGCAGCTCTATCATTTTTAGGCACAGCACTTTCGTAGGAAAGTGGAGTGGCTGGTAATTCTACAGAAGAATCTTCTGTGTAATCTTGGATAACAGTACTATCCAAAATTAGGAATGCTGGCTCATTACCTTTTCTTGCTTCGCCAATCAAATCATGCAAACATTCGGTATCAATGGTGCTTTTGATTTTTGACGATTCTTGGTGGCCTTCCCTCTCTTGAAGAACAAAATTTCCCCCTGTTTCTCTATGTTTCATAAAGGGGGCAAGGAACAGCAACTGCTTGAAGAATGGCCATGTTGGTTCTATTGGTTCCCCACCAGCGCTCCCAGATGGCTTGTACTCCCTTCTCACTTTCATGAATCTGTCCCGTAAGTTTTTGAATGTTTTCCGGGCAAGGTTCATATCTAGGAAAAAACAGTGGTCAATGTTAGATACTTTCAACTAGATATATTTTATAAGAACTACCCTATTACGTGATTGAAGCAAAACATTTTTTAAAATTGCCGCTTGTATCTCAAACAAATTGAAAATATTTTCATTCGTTTGAGATACAATATTGCTTAAAGAAGAGCATTGACTTTCGAAATCTACAAACTTGTTTAAAAAAACAGGTTTTCAAGAAATCAAAATTCTCTTGAGTAAAAAAACATCAACAAAATACAAACTTTCGCGAAGTTCTTTTGCACTTTCATACCGTTCTTCAAAAATTTCTTGGCACACAGTCTTCCAGGCATTCTCTCGGACAATCTCATCCTTGTACTCTTTTTTGCTAGTATCGTACAAGCGAGGTAACTTCCGAAAAGCTTCGATCAGAAGTTCTTTGTTTATGTTTTTTTAGCTGCCATCTTTCTTGACTTTACCATTGTTCTGAAGCGTCACTGTGTTAAATAAATTTAACTTTGACCCGCCGTGACACATGGCTAAAAAAACGCAATGCGTGCGCATAACAGCAATTACTGCAAATCATATTTGGTTAGCGTCATGATGCACTGCGCCGTGACACGTCCAGTGTGAATGAAGGTTTAGGGTTATGTGGTAAAGCCAAGTTAAATGTTCTTTGAACGAACTCATAAGCCTTTGCTGAGTGAAATTGCAATGTTAATGCAAACTCTGGTGGATACTTGCAACCTTTTCCATTGATCTTGCTGGAAGCCATTCTCTTCATAAGATCCAAGGATGCTCCAAAGAAGGATTGTTTAAGCATCTCTTCACAGCTGGATGAAATAATCTGCTTCTGGCGTAGATGCTTAACAACAGTCTCAAGGAAGTCACAGACTTTTAAAGACGACAATATTTTTGCTTAGCTGTTTTCGCAATGTCTGTATTTGATTGTTACATTTTTTAATCTGATGTTTAAGTTTTCGTGGTGAGTCAGCAATATAGTAGTGATGATCTTGGCTAACTTCCTTTGATGGCAGACAAATTTCAGTGACTGGGGGATTTTCAGTTACACTTGCATCAATTCATCTTTTTGGGAACTTTCTTTCTTTTGAAACCTACACCCCTGCTGTGTATATGAAGTCATTCAAACTGTTCACAGACCCTTAAAGTGAATATGAAACGAATTTTTTTTCGGCACTTACTGGGGCTAAAAAAAGGAATGATTTCGAAAATAATCTCAGTTTTTCAAAATTCTGTGCAAAAGTCACGATTTTGGGGGTATATGAGTTTTTAAAAAACAGCGCAGGGATCTGGGACAAGCGTAGTGTTGTTAGGTAGAGTGTTGGACACGAAAATCAAACAAACAATAGGTGGCTCAGTTCAGTTCAGTTCAGTAAACTCAGTTCAGTTTATTGTTAGGAGAATCATGTACGGTCGTTGTGTTCTGCAAGAAAATGGCCGATTCCAGCGAAAGCGAACGTGAGAACTACAATATTTCTTCAAGTACTGACGAGGAAGATCTTTTTGGAACGATTGGGAGGAGGTTTCAACCATACCAAGATGAACCATTGGCATCGTCAGACAGTGGCCTACTTCAGATGGGAATGACGATCCCTGAGATGAGGATGGGATACGGCCGTCACAGTTTAGAGACAGAGAAGCTGGATCGGTTTCTGTCGATCATTGGTAAGTTCACAAAGTCTTCATGTTCGCCATTTTCGTTTTCTCCTTTTTTCTCAACTAAAGCTCCTTCTGAATTTTGACTCTTATGACCCCGGCTTACCGCAAACCTGTTTATTTTCTAAAGCCCCGTTAAAACGCTCTCAACATTTCACTGGACATTGCTCTACATTTGTAGAGTGATGTTCAGTGAAGTTTAGTCATGTTGAGTGGGGGTGTTAAAACGCTCTCAACAATCAGACTCAACATTTGCTCAGCGATGAACTTTGGTCTCCCAGAGATCCAAGACGAGGCAAGCCGCTATTCAGGTAGGCTCGTTTTCGCGCTTTGTGCCAATTGTGTTCAAAATGGCAGCAGTTTCAGCATGTCACAAGCGAAAAGTCGTCGCAGCCCTGTTAACGCTAGAACTTATAGATGATGATAACGAGGGAAAGGGTCACAAAAAGAGAAAAATGAAAGCATGGATGAAAAGAAGAGATGGGCAAGGATACGCTAACAATATTGTAAGGGAGTTGAGCATGGAGGACACAAATGGCTTCAAGGAAATGATGCGTATGAGTTATGAAGACTTTTTGTACATCCTCAATTTGATTGAGAAAGATATAATGCCAAAGCAAATACTTGGAGGGCAGAAGGTGATCGATGCGAAGTCAAGATTGATTCTTGCAATCAGATTCCTGGCCACTGGGGAGAGCTACAGATCCTTAAGATTCCAATTTCGGATATCAACTCCTGTCATCTCTTACATTATTAATGATGTGTGTTCTGCAATAAGCACAAATTTGGCCCCTTTGTTTCTCAAATTCCCTTCAAAACCTGAAGAATGGATGGAGATATCAAGGAAATTTGAAGAAAGATGGCAATTCCCAAACTGTAGAGGAGCCATTGATGGTAAACACATTGATGGTAAACACATTGATGGTAATGCAGCAACCACCAGATGCTGGCTCCCATTATTATAATTACAAGCATACCCATTCAATAGTCCTACTAGCTGTTGCTGGACCAGACTATGAATGTGTGTATGCAGACATTGGTACAAATGGAAGAGTTTCAGATGGTGGTGTATGGAATAAATGTTCTCTTTCAAGAGGAATAGAATCAGGGAAAATTTGCCTTCCTGGACCAAAGAATCTTCCTCTTGGGGTTGAAAAGGTCCCCTACGTTTTTGTTGGTGATGATGCTTTTGCCTTGAAACCATATCTCATGAAGCCATACCCACAGTGTGGCCTAACAAATGACAAAAGAATTTATAACTATCGTCATAGTAGAGCAAGGAGAATTTCAGAAAATCTTTTTGGCATCATAGCTAACCGATGGCGTGTATTTCGCTCCGTAATTCTACTTCCACCAGAGTCTATAAGTACTATAACAATGGCAACTCTCACCATTCATAACTTTTTGAGGAAAAGTCAATCAAGGAAGATATACTGCCCGGTTGGAATGACAGATGCTGTTGATCTAGATGGAGGGCTGTCTCCTGGCATGTGGTGCAATGATCAAGCAACAAACAACCTCATTTCCTTGCCACCACCACCAAGAGGACATAATGCCTGCACAAATGCAAAGAAAGTTAGAGACATGTTTAAGGATTACTTTTGTAATGAAGGGGCTGTGGAATGGCAATGGAATAAGTGCTAAGGGGCATATTACTATAGTTCATAGGGGGCCAGGATAAAGATAAATAAAACGGCACAGCAATTATTTTCTTGCTTGCTTTATCATCCCTTCTTTGTAAAGCTGCTCCTTGTGGTTTACATGTTACATATATATACAATATATTTGATTTAACACTTTTGCTACTTGATGTGTTTACTTGAAATTCAGATAAATGCCTGATTTTCAAAAATTTACAGAAGACTTTATCAATCTCTAATTCTGACAGAGCAGGTGCAAAAGACACTCAGGGGGTATCAAAAACTTTTTCTAGAGTATGAAGAATTCTGTTTCATTTTATCTGCATTGAGCACTGTATACAGATTTTGAATAAACTAAAAATGCTGAAACCGAAAAGAAATATATATATTCATAAAATGTAGACCTAACTGATGTTAAGTTTTTTAAAACGGTCCTTATGCAAAAATACTAAAAATCATTATTGTGATGTTTAAACATAGAATTACCCTCTTGGCATTAATTTGAAAATTAAAGCATTGTATCTAGCATAAATTGAAAGCTGGTGTTGATTCTAGATCTGGCATCAATCAACTGTACAAAATCAAAATTTTTAGAGGTCACGAGAGAAAAAAACTTATTTCTTTACTTCATATTTTTTCAAAGACAGGTAATCATAATATATAATCTCAAGAAATATCAGAGTCTTCATTTAATCAGATGCACCAACAACAAGCTCATTTTCATATCCTTTTTCATTTCAAGGATCTAAAGTTAAAAAAGTGTTTGCATGTTTTGAACTACTGGGCAAATTGTAGACAAATTTTTCTATGCATCAGATTGTTTACATGGGTTTTAATACTGAAACAAATCAAATTACAAATAGAAAATTGAATAAGACCAGTTGCAGTCATATGTGAATCATCATTGTCTAAGTTATCATTGTTTAGCTATAGAGGAAATAGGCATAGATAAAAAAGAAAGTCATGCAGTTTGAAGGGTTTTGCTAAGAACAACTATTGAAGAAATGACATAAAAGATGTCCTATCCCTTTGAGATGCCATATTTGTCTGCATGTACCCAGGAATATTCTGAGAGTAGGATTCATTTGGCTGGAAATCATTTCTCAAATCTTGCTGTTGATTTTTTATCTCAATGTCAAAGATGACATCATTTATCCTCTTCTCAGCAATCAGTCTGTCTCTTGCATTGAATTTTGACAGCTTTTCAGAGATGTATAGAGAAAAAAGGAACATGCCTCCTTTGGTTTGGGCTCTGGTTGCTTCAAAACATTAATGCAGGTAGTTAGAAGTTCCTGCTTCTTAGAATCCAAAGATTTCTTTGTTGCTCTGGGTGTGCTGCTATTGTATTCCCCTACTACAGAAATTGAGGACCCAGGTTCTGAATCAAGACTTGCTTCAGTTGATAGACTCTGCTCCTTGTCTTCTTGATTTTGTATGTTATCTCTGCTTTTTCCAGGCTGCATAACTGCTTGCAGGAATTGGAGCCTCTGCCAATAAATCCATGTGGGCTTATAAAGGTCATCTAGGCTCTGACCAGATCTGGTTTTGCTTAATTTTGCTCTTTCTCTGCCAAGCTGGGAGCGCAGTGACAAAAGTCTGTTTTGATGTCTGCAACTGGGGTGTCCAATTCCCTTGAAATTTCACTTAAAGTTTTTTCGCGTTTGTCTTTATCGTGGTACTCCTTTTAAAAAATGTCCCACAGACAAGTGTTTTCCTCATATAAATCGATAAGCTTTAAAATCGCATCATGAGTCCACTTCTTTACCTCACTCCCAGGGTTTCCAGTGTTCCTCCGAGATGTCGATCTTTTTTGCGAGGTCGATAGAGATGAAGTTGGCCCGTCATCATTTTTCTTGTCGTTCTTTACATTTCTTCTGGCTTTTTTGCGACTACATGAAAAGTCTTGAAATGTGGATTCCCTTGGAAGCCTCTTCAACAGTAGCTGTTTGATGACTCTCTCAGATTCAGGATCTAGGCCCAACGATTCAATCGCAAGTTCGTCCTGTTCTTCTTCGGAAGCCTGCTCTACGTCTCGCAGGTTGTCATGAGTTATAATCTCTTCCGATTCGCTTTCACTACCCACTGTTTCAAAGCCTTCATCGTGGTTTGCCATTGTGATTTGTAAATTCTAACTCAGCTCTTTGCATTCAAACCTATTTCGTTCTTTGGCGCGCAACGACGAAGTCTAGTGCGCTTGCGCCGACTGAACATTGTTGGATGGGGTGTTAAAATGATCTCGACATCTCTCAACAACACCTTGGACAATAGAAATGTTGAGTCGACACGCTGAACATTTTTGAATCTGTTCAAACTCCGCTCAACATCGCTGAACACCGCTCAACATCACTGAACAGGGTGTTAAAACCCTCTCAACATTTGCACTCTACAAATGTAGAGCGATGTTCAGTGAAATGTTGAGAGCGTTTTAACGTGGGGCTTAATACCCAAGGTGTGAATGTGGAAAATGCAGTTCGAAACACTTGGTCTCCGCCCGAGAGTATCATTGCTGTAAAGAAGACTATGGGGCTTATGAAAAAGTAGTTGCAGAAGGGAGTCAAGATGCAACCCAGATTACCAGGCGATGACATCATCCTGATTACCAGGCGATGACAAATAAACAGGGGCTTCTTCAAGTAGGCCCGATGTTTAAGGGAAGAGATGGCACGTCAGAAGAAGAGTAAATCTCATTCAAGATTTTGATAGCATCAAAATCATGCTTTAACAATGGAATAAAGTCTATATATTTTTCACTCTTTCAATTAAGTGGTTGAACTTCATAAACAAGGGAGAAGGGGTTGAGATGAGCGCCAAGGTCAAAATTTACTAAAATCGGTTCCCCTGTTACTTTTACAGAAATAATGGTAACAGAAATGAAAAACGCTCTTAGCTTGGCTATCTCAAAAGTAAAATAATTCCATATTTTGCTTCATACGAATAATAAATCTAATTTAATCAAACAATTGTTAAATAGCCTAGGCTACATTTGAAAGTTATTTTCTGGCACAGCAAGTTTTACAGAAAAGGTGCCTAGCTTAGTATTTCTTGTGTAATTCAAGTGTAATTCCTTAAACCTTAAATACATCTTATCAAAATGAAAATATATGTGATTGTGTTTAAAGACCTGTGGTTACATAAGCTATATGTTGTATGACTTTTTGCTCACAGATACATCAGAGCTGTTGCCTATCACTGGATTATAAATTGGCTGTATGGGTATTTAGGCTGGGACAATTTAGGACCTTTATGAGCTTGTGTTCACAACCATATTCGAGAACTGTACCAAGTTGGCCAAAACAAAGGCTACAAAGACTCAGCAGAAAGACAGTAATTACTTAAAAGAAATTAATATAGAATTCAAGGTTCATTTTTGGCATTTTTTCTTTGGGTGTCCTTTCTTTGGTTGATTGCAGACTTTACATTTTGGGGCTTTTCTTTTACTGTTCGCTTTTGATGGTGCCTGGTGTAAAAGTAGTTCTTGTTGGCCACTTTGCTCCCTCTCTATGGAAAAAAGAACATCATATAGCCAAATTGTTTTGTCAACTTGATGGATAATTACACTTGCTACTAACCGACTAATTTAAAAAAAACTATTAAAATAAAATCATTCAAAATAGTTGTTTACCCGTTGGATACATTGAAGTTGTACTTTGATTCCTCTCTAAATATTTCTGAACAGCCTCTAATTTCGGCAATTGGTCTTTAAACTGAGATGTCAATGGTAGAGGGGCAATCCTTTCATATTGTTTCATTATTTCATTGCATTCAGCTTTTGGGATTGTAAACATCAGCTTTCTGATTGTATCGACATACTATGTTTAAAAGATTAGTATCATTGAGTATCATTTGTATCAACAAGTTGTATCATTTTCTAAGTTATAATGATGCAAAATATATATATTATTTGTTTTTCTTTATTGATCACTGCCAAGTCAAAGTTGTTCTTTCTGAAACCATATCAGATGTTTTGAAGCAAAAACTGTTATTGTCAAAAACACAATGCAAATTACAATATTATGCCCATTCAAAGAAAGCCATGTGAATATATTCAGTAAGGGTCTATCAGTCTATTCTTATTATTTAACAAAAAGAGATCAAAAGCCCTGTGAGCCCTTTCAGGATGATTCATTGCTTTGTTAGAAAAATACAAATTGAAGTGGGAATAAACAAATATGGAATACAGTGGGCCGTTTGGATCAGTTTAATTGTTTATTTTAAAAGAGATGTCCATTGTATAGAGTTTATTCTAGACCTTTTTGGCTTTTTGGAACGAAACGATGTGAATGAAGATTCCACTGTACTATGGGTGAAAACGTATACAATAACTACCATAAGTTGGAGCAACTGGGACTTTAGGGACTGATTCTTCTCCTAGTTTGAATTTGGGCCAAAATATCCGCATGACTTCAGTACCATCAGCTTTCTTCTGAATGTCCCTTTTCAAATTTTCATTAAAGTGACAAATTGACAGAATATGCCTGCAAATAAATTTAAATTGCAGTTACAGAAAGAGTTAATGCAATTTTTCAAATGCCAGTTGCACTGATGTTCTTACCAGTTACTATGATTTGATAATGGAATTTTATCTACTACATAATCAACAATCAAGACCTATTAGAATGTATTGTCATTATCAAAATTAATATTGTAGTTATAATATACACTTGCAGAAAGTCCCAGTCCTTTGAAAGTGTAGTATTTTTGGATGCCACTGATTCAGTGTTTAATGGTATAACTCAAGACAACTTGTTTGCACAATCAGATATAATTGCCAAATACCATTTAAAAGTTTCTTGTCCAACAATATTGCCTTGAGTTTGTCATAGGCGACAGTACCTTGTGATGAAGATGCATCATTTGTTAAAATCTAAAATGACTGCACTGGTCAATAATATTGTATGATATATTTTATTTTATTTTAAGTTTTCCATCATTCATAAAAAATATGACAATCAGAATTTAGGGAAGACCAATTTTGAAAAATGAGGATAAATAATTGTTGGTTTATATGACTTACCATTTTTGATCCAAAGCCTCTTCCTTAATTTTTCATGCTTACAGTTTTTGAATAAGGGATCTGGATGATTCTCATGCTCATTTGCGATATGGGGAATAACTGACTTCCATTTTGCTTCAATTAGCTCATGGAAACCCTCCTTTGTTGATGTTACACACCAGTATAAATGATTTCGAATAGAAGATGCCCATTCGCTGATTGGCTCACAATCCTTCCTTTACCTGCCTTCAATAATTTTTTTTAATTGTTCTTGCAACATGCCAGACTTCTCTAATGCTTTAATTGCTTTAATGCTTCAAATTAATGCTTTAATTGCTTCTCTGAATCCCGTATTCATTTTCCAATACCAGTGTGGCGATCAGAAACAAAAACTGAAATTGGTACCTCCTTATTTCTAAGAAACTCCATTCCTCGATGGCACCTTACGAACTCCATACCAGTACTACTTTTACATTCATTTGCCTACAAAGAAAAAAAAGAACTACAAATCAGATGATGATTTAACAGCATACAGAAATGATCATCCTTACATTCATGAAACAAAGAAACAATTAGACCAAAAAATGAAGACCTTATTAAAGGTATGGTTAATTCGAAAAAATTTCATTTAAAATCCTCTTTTGGGTAGAATTGCATAAAATGTGCACAAATTTCCTTATAAGCTTCTATGTCTTACCTGCACAAGCTCAAAGTGAACTATCTTCATGATATTCTCGCAAAAGAAAGTATAGCTGCCATATTTGGCAGAATGGCCCATTGAATCAACCCACCCAAAACCACAAACAATAATGCGATCTGACAGTTGCAAAACTTGATTCAGTGTAGTTGCCAATGCCGTATGATGCTAGGGAAAATAAAGATTCTCTGGTGCAAAAATAAAGTTCGTGCCTGGTAGGTCATGAGTCCAAGGTGCCTGCAAACAAGCAATACTTTACTGACTGAAGCACCAGCTGCTAATAACCCAAAGCTGAGAAGCACATTTCCAGCCGGGTACCTTACAAAAATAAAAGGCTGATATCTCCAGACAAAGGAATCTTTTCCACATCTGTTACAACTCTGAATTGCAGTTATCATTGTTCCATTTTTCAACAAATATACAGTTGGGGAATTCTCTTTGCATTTAAAACAGAACATCGACAAGAGATTCATGAGCATACTGTCAAAAACAATTAACTTTGGCTCTTCTTCTTTGGGAGTTGTTGGATCAACCCTAAAATTAAAAAAGTGATCCATGGGGCTCTGATATATTAATGAGAAAACTTTCGACTAAACATATTTTTACAAAATCAAAAACAACATTCTAATAGATTAAATAATCGCTTATCGAACTTTGAACTAGTATATGTAACAATAATTATAGTTATTGCAGCATGAGCAAAGCAGAAATTTAAAAAAAAATTGAAAAAGTTTACTGGAATTATAAATGTTGTAGTGATTTGATTCAAATGTAGGGAATTTCTGCAAAATATACCTAATGTAGCTTCTTGGAGTTGCATCAAACAAGTTCCCATTATCAATGTCATCCTCATCATCATCCTTTTCCAAATCACTTCCACTTATCATCTGAAAAAACATCACTCTCGTCACCACTATCTATCCCAGCTGCAAATTGACCTTCTTTTGCCTCTGGTGCTTCAGCTTCATTGTTTGATGAAGTTTGTTTTGCCTATCAACATAAACAAATTGTCACATTTACTTTGTTTAGTTAACTGCACCATACAGGATTTTCAAAAGTAAGAATGAAGAATGACATCTGGTTATCAGGACTTCATGAAAAGAGTTTTTATACAAAGTACCTATACTGGAAGGATTCTGGCTTTTTGAGTAAGGAAAGGAAATGAGACATTGCCACAGCAGTGTTTTAGATACCAACAGAAATCTAAATACCAAGCAGGTTTTCAGAAAGACTATTTCATCTTTCAACTTCTCGATTTTGCACTTCAGCCTCTTTTCCTTTTTTCATGCTGTCCTTTCCTGCATGTAAAATTTGCACCTACTGCAGGGCAGTTTGGCTTCAACAGACTTGTTTTTTGACTTTGGCAAGGCTAATGTTTCTCCAACAGCATCACAACAAGTAGGACAACCAGTCATTGGAGCACATGAGAGATGGAGGGGACATGCTTCTACATCAAATATACTTTCCTCATGATCAGGTTCTGTTGTCAGAATGGGAGAGGCTTCATTTGTGGAACTGGCCTTGTCGTCATTATATGTAATTGTAGCATGCATTGCTTCTTTTACCAGCTAAAAAGAAAAAATTGAGATGATTTGCTGTTTCACCATTCACCAAGCCATTTCATGTTATTCATGCAAAAATTTCAATTCCAGTTTGGGCATAAATCTGGACATAAATCAATAATGTTTGATAATATATGAATAGCACGTTGAAAATTAAATGAACATTCAAACCAGATAGACCATAACAAGCACTTTAGCATTTGGGCCTATTTGGTACAACATATTTTAGATGAACCCGTCAGTCTTATAAAAGCATCAAAAACCATTCTCAATATTTAAATAACCATAATATAATTAGAAGGACAAAGAGTATGGAAATGCTTAGCTAACTGGGAAAGAAAATTCTACATAGACGAACAGGCAGAAACTTGACAGTGCAAACTTCTTACCTGGCGTTTTTCTCTGCTTGAATAAGATGTCTCTTCTTGTGGAGGATTGTGCAGCGTTGGCATAGCTTCTCAGAGAAGAAAACGCTTCAAATGTTCTGCATCAAAGTCCCCGAAATTGGATACTAACGCTTTCGAAAAGCAGGAAGAATTGAAATGTAAAGAGCACAGAAAAGGTTCTTTGCTGTACGTTTCTGAATCAAAATTTACACTATAACGTCGAACAAATACAGTCCATTTGCTCCTTACTTCCGGGTTTTTTGGGAAATGATGCATGGAAATACCGACAGTACCACTTCTACTGGTGCATGGTTTCCCGTTTGGTAGTCCTCCAATACAATACTGATCTCCGCGTTGATAAGACTTCACAGATCTTGCTTCATTCTCCATTGAAGAATGGATACTCGTAAAATCAAACCTCGAGCCCGAACGATTTGCTGACCAGCTTTCGAAAATGGGCCTAAGCTGAAGGTTGCTTATTCCGATAGGAATGCTCACCTAGTCTAACCGCATGGATTTGATGTTGGCTGAAATGCTCTAGCCAGTTAACTCTTTTATTGATATTGTCCCAGAGTCTTGCACAATTACCACTAATAAAACTTTCACATGTTGATTTGCAGGTTTCTCAATCCTTTTGTGAAGTCATAAACTTGCAAAATCATCTAAAATTGCGCTTCCCAAGGCTTATTTGTTGTGCATTCAATTCTCTTAACACCCTTTTCGTAAAGGTTGACAATACTCCCTTGCTTGAGATTTCACAATAGCAAAAAAACTTTCCAGCAAATGATAAACCGCATAGAAAGTATAGGAAGATGTTTACTTCATGAAGAGCCCCCGATAAACTTACGATTGGACCCTTTGTTGTTATTAAACCTAAGCCTAAACGGCATGCAAGTGCTACCCACATACTGTACATGCTTGTTATTTGTATGGTTTTAAAGAAACATTGCTGCGTTGGTGGAACCCAAGATCTCCGTGGGTGAATGCTTCAGGCTTGTCTACTGCGGCGCCCTCGCCAGTCATGTTTGCTGTTCGTACATTATCACTGTGGATGCCTGCCATGACGATAACCACAAGATCCATCAATCATATGCTCCACAATGTACGAACATACCCTGAGCTCCACTTTTGCTCGAATCTACATCTGTGCTTGCTAAAATAATACAAGAGTATCTACAAAATCACTACTTCATAATGGCCAGCAACTACATTCAAAAAGAAAGAGACACATGCGATTTATCCAACACCAAGAAAGGCACTACATTTCTACTTAACAAATTATCTTGAGAACGCCCATGAGACACGTATATTGTTCATTTTCCTCATATTGTACAGCACTCTATACCTGTGTTTTTTATGATACTCGTTACATATGATACTTGTTGTCATACACTCATGTTACAAAGCCATCATGATCATGCCATGCTAAAATATCTCCTTCCTCTTCAATGCTAACTTTAACTATTGTCTGTGATTCACACAAGGAATGCTGCTAATAATTTTCTTGAGTTGGGATGGAACTGATATGCACCAGGCACTGTTTTGCGCTTCTCTGATCTTGCTGAAAGTAACCTTTCTTTTTTGTCATACTCATCCTGTGATACAAATGCAAAATTGATATCCTTCAGAGATGAATTAGCTCATTCAAACAGCTGCAGCGGTGTTTGTATCTGGTCCTCATATGGCCTTTGAAGACTGGCCCTAGCTTCAAGACCCTTGACTGTTCCACCAACACCATCACAAGGACCTTTACCACGAGATGTCTCAAAGAAGTTCCATTCTGCTACAAACCCAAAATCATTTTCATGGAAGGCAGGATTCAAAAAGT